TTTAAAAAAAAAAAAAAAACAAGTTCCTTCAGTTTTTGAGTCATAAGTTCATGTATCTTGAGAGAATATACTGAAACTTTTTAACACTTGGTGCAAATCACATTATCACAAATAATCAATTGACAGTAAAATATCTCAACAAAATTTTACACGGAAATTCTATTATATCACTAGTCACATGTTAAAATAACATGACATGTTAAAGCGCATTGTGAAAAATCTAATATAATAAATAATATATTATATATCTTACTTATATTAACAATTTAATGAAAAAATGTAATGCTATATATTAAATTAAAGTAATAATTACAAGGATAATTTCATATATAATTTAAATTAATTTAGATGACTTTTTATTACTAGGATATTTGTCTTATTTAATACCTAGTTAAGACCTTACAGCTATTTGAGAGACATTTCATTTTTAGTAATAAAAACAACACCGCCTCCATAATTCCACAAGTCCCACGTTAATGTGGAGCTTATCATCGCGTCGTATAGTATACTAATTTTTTTAATTCAAGTATGCCCTTCTCTACACGCACATTTAAACGTCAAATAGTTTTAAACTTTACTATAATGTGCAATTATGCTAGTTTTGTACATCATTTACTATCATAGTAACATAAAATAGATTATTTTTGCTCTTGCATTTTAATTCTTTAATGTAGTTTTATGGTTTCAACATTTACAGTGATGAAACGCCGTGTAATAAGTGGCCATCAATAGACAATTGGCCTACCTATAAATATTTTTCGTTTTCTTGTCCTAAGGTATTTGATCTAATGTGGTGTAAAAGTGTTGCATAAACATTGAGATAGTAAATATTATATATTATATTAACGTCTTAAAAATAAGTAGGAGTCGGGGAGGATCCGACATCGAGCTCGACTTGTTTATACCATAAAGGGAGCGAGTGGGAACAGAAATCTAAATAAGAACATAGTACGTAATGATAATTATTATATTCTGTAAAAATTATATTTTTATTGTACGCCTGTTCTTTGAGAAGATATGCAACTAATTTGGCATGCATACTTATTGTTTTTCATGTCATCTTCATTAAATAAAAAATAATTCAAACAAGTAATCTGACACGATACCGTATATTTTACGATAGGTTTAATACACGGATACTTCGTTTCTCTTATCAGTCACCTTATTACATCGCGAGTCCAACCTGATTAGTTTCCTAGCTGTCTAATTATGGTACAATGTCTACTGGATCGCGGCTGATCACAGCGGTGTACGCTCTCTCCGGTTTCTTACGTTTTATGTGTACTTACACTATTCACCGTCTTAGCCTTCTTTCCAATATGGAAAGATATTATGTACATTATACAAAATATAAAAAGTTGTGTTTTGAATTTTTTTGTAAGTAATGTTAACTTGTTGACATAGGTAAACAATTTTTACTTTTTTCCACGTAAATGTAGTTTTAACTCGGCTAGTGACATTTATCCCGTGTTACTTCATTTAAGTTGTAGTATTCTACCCATATTTTGATACACATAGTATTGACGGTATTACCGTGTCAAATTATGTACCAGTATTTTAATTAAAGTCGATAAGTGTTAATTAATGTATTAATTTTACAGTACACTGTTCAAGTAAAACGAACTGTTTTATAAACATGGGAAGAATTAGAAATATTTTTCGTCGTTAAAAATAGTGTTCATTGAAAACAAAGAAATAACATAATAATTTTTTTAACAGCTATAAGGTTGTTAAACTTTCACTGGAAAATCATTTCACTTTCAGCTATAATTTTGTTTTTGATAAAAAAATAATCTGTACAAGAAAGATTTACAATTAGTTCAAAATTTGTTTAACATATTATTTATATTACATGGCATTATTAGCGTTAAAGGAAATCACCAATTGGTAACAACTCACCTTTTTGGAATTTAAAATTGTTTTATTACATAATTCTTAATTGTCATTTTAAATTTAGTATAAATAAAATAACAATTATAGCAAAATTTTGAAGTTTTCTAGTTTGTAACAAATTAAATTATTATTATTAATGGCGACGAATCCATTGTTTACGCATTACATTTTAGAGGTGGGTAGAGGTAATATGTAGTGTTATAAATTGTAACCTAAAAAGACATTAAAATGACTGTTCAATAATATTTATTCTAATAATATCTATTTCTGCTCTATATATTATAGAGCAGAAATAGAAGTATATTTTTTTGGCCCTAAAATTGCTTAAAAAATATAACATAGATTTTGTTTTTATGCAAACATTTTAAAAATGACATAAGCACCACATTTTGTTTTTTACTATTCATATAAATTATGTGTATTATTAACTTGTATACAAGCTCATAACACAGATCACTCTATAGGTTCTGCAAAATATTATTTTATTGGTTTAAATAAATTTAAAATAAAATCAATTACTAGTATGTTTTTATGAACTATCACTATTTTATTCCAATAACTATTGGATTTAGAATAGAATTTGAGACTTTAATTTATAGAGGGCGCCACCTTTATTTTCGAACTATAATATTAAATTTATAATTGTATTATGAATCTATTGTTTATTTTTGCCACTAGAAGAATTTTTAGATCGATACTTGTTAAATGAAATTTTTAAAAATTACTGTACAATAAAACAACTTAAAAAAATACACACGAAGCATTCAACATAATTGATTTTTTTGGTTTTTCGAGTGTGAGAACCAAAGCGTGAATTTTACTTAAGGAGTATAAAAGCAGGACCTTCTTTAAAAATTAGTAAGAGGAAAAAATAATTATGACATAATTTACATTGATGATGTTGAACCAATCTTCAATAAAATATATAAACTAAAAAAATGAAGTGTGGGGCTTAACACAAATGTCTTAATTGGTCTGCTCTGGAACTGATCTGAAAGTGCTATTCACTTTTTAATGATTATAAACCAAAATTGAGAATAAAGAATGTTTATTTAATTGAATTAAATTTCATTCTTTTTTTTTTAACAAAGTATTATGAAAATAGTTATAAAATTTTAAAAGAATTTTATCTTTTTAACGTAAATTACTGAAGTAATATAAACATACTTTGAGTAAATTTGATTGTTTATACAAAATAAAAAACATATTTTGTCTAATGTAATAAAGTATGGTATACGAAAAGTATAACTAGTTTCAACATCAGTGATTTTTGTGTAATTTAAAGATGACGTGACTTTTTATAGTACAGAAAGTCGATTAAGAACAGCTATAGACTTGTTTGTGTATATAAATACTATAATAGAAAATAACAATGTGATGTGTTGGAGTGTGTGTGATAGTGGTGATGTTAATGAATAGTGGGTGCTTAATGCCTATCAAAATATCATATCACAATCTATAGGTTTTGTCAAAATCAATGTTGCGTGTGGCACCTCAACGACAATCGATAACTGCGGTTTGATTAATAATTTTTAAACGCACCGAAAAAATTACAAGTCACTAACCGATTACACACCAATAGGACAATAAGAATGACGCGTTGTTAACAAGCTGTGGTCGCGTCGCATCTCACACCGCACCCCGCCCTCCGAATCACGACCCTTACCAACACCTCCTAATCTACTCCTCTACGCCTCTTCATCGACGCTTAGGTTTCTTTGGACTTGGCTTGCCTATTATACTTGTTATGCCGGTTATCACCTACTACATTAATCGTTAAACTATTAATATATTGTTATGGGTATATAGAATGTATACCACGCGCTGAAGTCCTTTAAAAACAATTAATCAAACAAAGGACGAGCCTGCTGTTTTAACACAATTGAAAATTAATC